GCAGACTCGGGGTCAGTCCAGAGGGGAGCCTCCTGTGACCCTGAGGCGCAAGTGTCTGCTTCAGCCCGAAAACCTGGCCCTCAGTGTCGGTATCGCGGTTGCAGGCAGATTCTTTTCACTCAATCGCGTGTCATCATGTTACTAGGAACAATACTGCGCTTATGCCTCTCCGCTGTTCATTTTATTTAATAATGCAATTGCTGGGATTTGCAATAACAGATTCAAACACTGTGGAAGTGTGGTTTGAGCTTTTCTGAGGAGTTTGCATTTTTAATTTTTTGTCTCTTCGACTGTCTAAATTTTTTAGCCAAGGGAAATGTGCTTAAACAAATCTGCATAGATACCCTTAGAGTGCTTAGAAGCAAGTAAGTAGAAAAGAATGATATTTGAATGCTTGTTGAATATAAAATGTTTCAACTGGGAGACTTGTTTTTTTTAATTCTTTTTTATTAGAAGTGTAGTCAGTGAGTTTCAAGTGTACAGCAAAGCAATTCAGTTACACATATACGTGCACACCTATACATATTTTCAGTTCCTTTTACATTGCGGCTCATTACAAGAAACTGAATAAAGTTCCCTGTGCTGAACAGTAGGTCCTTGCTGGGGAGACTTGTTAAATGTAAATTTTTGGAGAATGGATTTAGACTGTTCTCCATGTGCTACCTGGCTGCTTATCTTAAGAGGAATGTACAGAGCTTTTGAATTGAATGCTTGTTTTGTAAGAACTGAATATGCCCCATCTTTTGCTATTTGGTAAAGAATCTGAGCAGATTCCTAACAGATGAAGCCATTTGAGACTTTATGATTATCACCATCTTAATTATATTAACTAACTTTTATTGGGCACTTACATATTTGCTAGGCCTTGCTCTGAGTGCTCCTCCCCCTTCACTTATTCATTCCCGCATTAGCCAAGTAACTGAGGCATTGTTACTGTCTGGGTTTTACAGGTGAGGAGCAGTTCAGAGAGAGTCAGGACAGCTCTTCCCGTGCAGGGCAGTGGTGGCACCACCCTGGGCAGTCCACCTTTGGCCTGCCTGACCAGCACCCTTACCACCTCTGTGTTCTTAGAAGCATGGTATTTAACAAAGTTGCTTTGTCCTAGAAGCTACATTACCTCGATCCTTTTTTTTTTCTCCTTTTTCAGTTTTATATTTAGTAGAATTATTACAGTTTGACTGCACATATGCATTATATTGCATATAAACACATATATACAGTGTACTGCACATTTTTTACCTCGATTCTTTAAAGCTATTTTTTAAGCCTTATGTCATTAAGTTTTAGCTAATATGATTAAATCTGTTTCCTAACATTTGATACCTCATTCATTTCCTTAATGAAACAGTCTAACTTAACAGCCTTGATGTCACATAATGGAAAATGTCACGTAATTTTTTTAAGCCTCTTCTTTTTGAGGACGTATAATGTGGTTATGTAGATGGATGATTCTTATTAGGATGTATTTTTGCTAAATTTTTACAATGTAAGAAAAAGATTAACAGGGTTGGTAATTGTTGGGTTTAGTCTTTGTGTGTCCTCTTTTCACAGGAATGTACCTGAACTAGCCAATTAGGATAGTGCAGTAAGCCCCCTGTGAGCTGAGTTAAACTGCAAATGATCTGTATGTTTTTATCCTAGCTAGGGTAGGAGGGTTTGCTTTGACTGCAGAGTATTGCCGCTATTTTCTGTTTATTTGAAGCAGAAGCACTTTCACCTCTGTTGGGAAGAAAGCAAAAGTAGATTTAGATTTACAGGTTTATTGAAGATTTTCTTAGTTTGATTTGTATTGAAGGTTAGGATTTAGTTTTTTCTAGGTCTTGCCCATGCCAACTCTTGTCCCCTCTTAAATATAATAGAAAGCTAACAGTTGTACAACCAATTGTCCTCAGAAAGCCTTTGTAGCAAGTCTGGGAAGATACATAATCTTTTCTTATGTTTTATTCTTTGTCTTGTTATTTTCTGGATCTTTTAAATGTGTAGGACGATAACGAAGACAATTCAAACGATGGGACCCAGCCATCCAAAAGGAGGCGGATGGGCTCAGGAGACAGCTCCAGGAGCTGTGACACTTCGAGTCAAGACCTCGGGTACTGTCACTTTATTGCTTAATCGTATTTTCGGTGGTCTGTTTCTCTCTTCTGTGCCTCAGCTCCCTCCTTCCCTCCTTCTGGCTCTGGCAAAGCCGGTTGTTAGAGGTTGTGGAGTATTTTTTATTGTATTTTATAATGGCACCAAAGTTGCTTTTTACTACTCAGTGCAATTCAAAAAAAATTTTTATTGTGATAAAATACATGTAAAATTCACCATTTTAACTGTTTTTAAGTTGTGTAGTTCGGTAGTAGTAACTACATTCACAGTGTTTCGTAACCGTCACCATCACGCGTTTCCAAAACTTTTCCACTACTGCTGATAGAAAATGCATAACCATTAGCAGTAAAATCCCCAACGCCCCTCCGGCAGCCCTGGCAGCCACCATTCGACTGGGTCTTTATGGATCTGCCACATGTAAATGGGTCACACGGTGTTTGTCTCTGTGTCTGGCTTCTGTTCGTCAGCATACTTTCTTCAGAGTTCATCCAGTTTGTGGGCCGTGCTAGAACTTCCATCCTCTTTAAGGCTGAGTTACACTCCATCGTGTGGACCCACCATGTTTTGTTTATCTGTTCATCTGTTGATCGCACTGGGGCCATTTCCACCTTTGAGCTGGTGTCAGTAGTGCTGCTGTGGACGTTGGTGTGTAAGTGCCTGCTTAGAGCCCCGTTTTCAGCCCCTTTGGCTACATGCCTGGGAGGGGAACAGGTGGGTCATAGCGTAGCTCTCCACTTAGCTTTCTGAGGAGCAGTCGGACTGTTTTCCACAATGGAGGCACTGTTTTGTATTGCCACCAGCAGTGTACAAAGTCTCTAATTCTTTCACATCTTTACGGCTTTGCTATAGCTCTGTTTTTTCTTTTTTTTTTGATAATAGCCATTCTGAAAGGTGCTAAGGGATATATTACTGTGATTTTGATTTGAATTTTCATAACGACTAGTCGTATTGAGCATCTTTTTATGCGTTTATTAGCCATTTATATATCTTCTTCAGAGAAATGTCCATTCAGGTTTTCTGCCCATTCTTAACTTTTTGTTGTTGTTGAGTTGTAGGAGTGCTTTATATATTTCAGGTATTAATTTCTTATCAGATACATGATTTGCAAATATTTTCTCCCATTCTATAGGGTGACTTTTTACTCTATTGATAGTGTTCTTGGATTCACAAAAAAGGTTTAATTTTGCTGAAGTCTGAATTTTTTATTCTTTCTTTCCTGCTCGTGCTTTTGGTGTCATATCTAGAATCTGTTGCCAAATCCAAGGTGATGAAGATTTACTGCTAAGTTTTTTTCTACGAGTTTTCTAGTTTTAATTTTTACATTCAGGTCATGGACCCATTTTTGAATTAACTTTTCTTTGTGGTGTCAGGTACGGGTTCAGTTTCATACTGTTGTGTTTGGGTGTCCAGTTTCCAAGCACCACTTTTGGCAAAGCTGTTCTTTTTGTCTGTTACTTTTAACTGGACTGCTGCATGAAATCGTGTTACATTCCTGCTTGTGTTACCCAGTGATGAAAGCTGGACGTTGAATCGTTCCAGGTCCAGAAATGTGTCGTCCTTGCTGTTCAGGGTTGGGCCTGGCCTGCAGTGCACTGGTGCCATCAAACCGGGTTCACGCTCTGCTCCTGGGTTTGTGGGTCTGCGGTTCATCGGGAATAGGCGTTGAGAGTTCAGCCTTCTCAGCGGTCTGTGACTCCCTGAGCAGCAGATGGGAAGCAGAAGTTGATGACTTATACTTTGGGTGGACGACATGGTAGCTTAAGCCCAGGAGAAGGAGCTCGAAGCTAGTCTCACTGCCCGCTCTTTCAGAAACTCGGCCTTCTGCCCCTGCTCCTGGCGGCTGTGAGCCCTGGCTCTTCGTGGCGCAGAGATGTCACCTCCGTTGTGCTTTCTGAGCGGGTGCTTCAGATGGTGCTTTCTTTCCCCTCCACCTGCTTTGTGATTTTCTTTGATGCAAATGAAGTGGTAGGAACTTCTTTGTATTGCAAAGTCTCAGAAGACTGAGAATTTAAATAATTGAAATAGTTTTTTCCAAATCCTTAAAAATAAATATCCTCAAAAATATTTAAAAGTGAATGTCCTTTAAAATGAAAATGATTAAACTTCAGTAAAAGCCACATTTAATGCATAATATATATTTCTGTGCACAGCTTCAGCTACTATCCAGCGGAAAATCTGATCGAGTACAAGTGGCCGCCCGACGAAGCGGGAGAGTACTACATGCTCCAGGAGCAAGTCAGCGAATACCTGGGCGTGACCTCCTTCAAGCGGAAGTACCCAGGTACCGCCCGCGCCGCGGGTTAAGTCTGGCTTTGAGCTGACTGCTCATGTTAGGTAGTAATCCTTTTTGATGGTTGTCGACTTCTGAACATCTGAGTGTGGATGGTTTATGTTTCACACTTTTCTGCTGGCTGACTCTGCTTTGGGCTGTCCCACAGCGTCCCTCTCTGCTCTGTTTGTTCTTGTGCTTTATAGACTGATTTACAAGCAAATGAGGAAGAGAGGCTTCTGGGAAATTACAGGGCACTTTTGTTTTATAGCTGCATTATGAACCAGGGGTTTTGATTCTTACTGTTGCTCCTTGACTTTAGGGGTGGAGGTGGCTACAGAACCTGTATCTGAATTTGAGAAAGGTTGTACTTCGTCAACGATTCTGATATAGTGATTTGTTTTACCTTCTTGCTTTGGATTATTCTGTTTTCAGTTTTACTTTAACTTTTATTTCTTGAATTTGTAAGATTTTTTGTGTAGTCTTTTTAATATTTGAAATATGTAACATGAATTATTTGTTAAAATCCATGAAGATTTTAACTTTAACAATTTAAAAAAAATTTAAACTTTTAAAATTTTACAAATGGATAATGTTACAAATGCAAAAGACTATTTTTAATAGCTTTAATAGTCTTTTGTTCTTTTTGTTTGGAGATTTAGAGCGACGAGATTTGTCTCATAAGGAGAAACTCTACCTGAGAGAGCTAAATGTCATCACAGAAACTCAGTGCACTTTAGGTAATGAAAGCTTTTAATGTGCATTTTGAAAGCTGAACATGTACGAGGTGATGTCGGATGAATATTTATCTTCTTTCCCAAAGTATTTTACAAAATTCGTAGGACAGATTGAATTACTGAGATGCTGAATTGTTAACTTTGTTTTTGATTATTGTAAAAGTGTAAGGGAGACTGATATTTTATAACAGTATTGTTTTCTGATAACTTTCACAAAAGCGTCAAGGTGTGTGTGTATTTTGTGTGCAAAATTTGAATAGTACTTTTTAAAAGTATTGGTCCTTATCTCTTAAAAGACAAATTTTACTTAATTTTTAGCTACATGTAATTATCTCCGTATTTTATAATTTTCCTTTCATGAATATTTCAGTGCAACTTTTTAATGTAAAACCGTGGGAGCTCGTCTCGGCAGTGGGTGCAAACCTGACACTATGGGTTTGAAAGTCGCCTGTGTGACGTGTGTGTGTGTGTGACGTGCGTGTGTGCTGACACTTCTGGTGACATTGGAATGGACTCCAGTGTATCAGATTTGAGGACTGAGAACTGCAGTATATTGAAGCATTACTTTGCTTTCTCATCTGATGCCCTTTGTGAATTACCAGTGGTTCGTGTGCATCATTATTTAGAAATTGTTTCTCATAAAGGGATGGGTATTTATATGTAGTACATAGAATCTTAAGATTTTCATTGAAAAGTTGATCTTTGCCTTTGCTGTGTCTTTTTAAGTTTTGACTGTACTATGGATATTCTTTGTTACCATTTTCGAATGTATTAGAATATTTTGCTCTGACCACTGGAAAACCTCTTAAATGTGGTTTGCTGGAAAAGCAGATTTTGAAAAGTGGAATGGTCACTTAGCCTTAAAAGAGCTTCTTTACCCTTTATTTTTTTTGTCTGAAATAGGTTTAACAGCATTGCGCAGTGATGAAGTCATTGATTTAATGATAAAAGAATATCCAGCCAAACATGCTGAATATTCTGTCATTCTGCAAGAAAAAGAGCGTCAGCGCATCACAGACCACTATAAAGAGTATTCGGTAAGTGCCGCAGTGACCAGCATCTTTGGTTTGGGGAGAGTGACATTTTATAAAGGTTTATGTGACTTCCCACTGTAATGTTTTTATTTCAGCAAATGCAACAGCAGAATACTCAGAAAGTTGAAGCCAGCAAAGTGCCTGAGTACATTAAGAAAGCGGCCAAAAAAGCAGCTGAATTTAACAGCAACCTGAACCGGGAGCGTCTGGAGGAGAGAAGAGCTTACTTTGACCTGCAGACACATGTAGGGCCCTGGGCTCGGGAGCCCCGCACCCGCCCGCTGCTCGTTACCCTGCATGCCTGACACTGCTGATGGTGTTTCGTCCGCTTGGTGTCCTGTCTTCCCCAGAACGGCAGATGTCACTTTCAGTGATGTGCCTGATAATGCTCAGTTCACTTGTGTTTGGTGTGTGTGTGGTGTGTTGTGTGTGTATG